TTAACCTTAGACTGCTGGAGATTACTATTATTTATATAATAGTTATCCAATTAATTTGTGATTAAATTATGTGTAATTCAGTAATCATAATTATTTAGAATTTTATTTATAATTATGGAATTGCACTGCTGTCTGTTTCTGTGGCTCTGTTGGTGTCATTCTGATATGTTATTTTTAATATATCAGAATGACTAAGTAATTATGTTTATCAATTTTTATCATCTGATGTTAGATGCCAAGCAGCTTGGAGGATATTTGCTGATGTATTTTTGTTTTGGGTAATTTGTTATGATGGATAACCATAGCAACCATTTTTAAGTTTTATTTTTTTAATTGGGGGCAGCTAATTAACGTCCATCCATTTTCTGTCAGGCTTAACCCTGCTGGGGTCGTGAGGGGTGCTGGTGGTTATCGCCGGCTGTCTAGGTGGGGTATACCCTGGACAGGTCACCAGTCCATCGCAGGGCAACACAGAGACAAACAGGACAAGCAATCATTCACACCTACGGAAAATTTTAAGAAGCCAATTAGCCTTACAGTCAGAGGAAGCCGGAGTACCCAGAAAGAACCCATGCATACACAGGGAGAACATGCAAACTCCATGCAGAAAGATCCCGGGCTGGGAAACGAACCCAGAACCTTCTTGCTGCAAGGCAGTAGTGCTACCCACTAAGCAGCCCGCTAATTAACATCTGAAAAAAAAAAAAGATTGCTTCTACTACATACCCAAAAAAACCCAATCAGCTGAAAAGTAGGAGCCATGGATGCACAGCAGAAAAAAACAGAAGACAGAGAAAGAGTGGAGCATCACTGCCATGTAGGGATGCACAATAAATCTATATTAATATCAGTATCTGCCAGTGTTGAATGTAATTTACAAACATTGAAAGCGGGCTTATATTAACAACTAATGTTTATTTGCATCCAATTTCTGTTTTTACTTTAGGTACTTTTACTTTACTTTGTGCTTCTCTTCTCCAATTGATTATTATGGGCAGCATGCGATCTTTATCAAAGAATTTTTTTTTAGGTCGCAGAAACACAAAGAATTATGGTAATAAAGCCTTAGACTGTTTTTTTTTTTTTTTTGTACATATTTGACTTATGTTAATAATTTCTTCAGTCTATGTTTTTTTTTTTTTTCTGTTTTCTGACACTAAATATCCCAAAATATACATCTCATTTACTCTAATTAGACTCATTAAATGCTTTTAGAATTTCTTTTTTTTTCTACATAGCTACATTTAGTTACCAAGTGAATCATCAAACCCCAAATAAATCATGTGGAATTTTATAATAAAGCCCCTTAAAACCTGCAGATTTTTCTTTTTGAGTTAAGTTGCTCACAATCTTTTTGCTAAGCTGTCTTTTTTCAGGTAATCCTTTCAATTTAGGATGACAGCTGAAGATCTCCAGATGTGACTGAACCTTCTTGATGTGGAATCTGATGTGAAATTTCAAAATTAAAGCCCCTAAAAATCTCTACACTCAGTCAACTAAGTTGCTGTCAATATTGCAGCTAACTAAGTGTTTTCTGTGAATGCTTCTATTTCATAATGACTAAAAGACCTCCACATACGACCCACAGCGCTTCATCCATACCTGATGAGGAATTTCAATTACTGGAATTATCAAGGAATCACAGAAGCAATATGAAGTCAAAATAAGAGACATCAATGAGCATACAGGAAAAAGCTGGAGAGCAAGCCACAGATGAACAATGAAAGAGATTTGTGGGTGTTTTATTTTTTATGTGATTGTTACCAACCAAATTAGACACTGCAGCTCTATTTGCCTCCCTCTTCCACCAAAATGACCCTAGAGATCAGATGATAAGGCAGCTGGAGAGGCATGGGGTCTTCTCCAGAGCCTTCAGAGATCTCTGCAGAGTATTTCTGCATCTCTTCAATATTAGCATGAGACAGAAGAAGGTTCTGGTGTGGTGGGATGCCTTCATACCATCTTACACTTACTCCAACACACATACTGTCATTTTAGTGAAGAGAGACAGCATTGTGAAAATCATTTTCACTCTAAAAATAAGAACATGATTCTATCTAAACCCTTCTGTTGTACTTTGATGGGTGTTATGGGTAATTCTCCTCCTGATACTATCCCCAAATTATAGTCTCATCAGATTTGTCACTGCCGGAAACACGTACCCCCTGCACGATGTGTTGCCACTATTGTTGAAGTTTTATTGACTCACATAGTTGGCTGTTTTATTTATTTTCTCTGTGCATAGCCCATCGGTTTCGGTGAATAGCCATTTCCTAAACTGCAGCTTTCCATCTTTAGATCGTTTATGAGCTATTCAAAGCTTTGGAGAGTAATAACCTAACTACATATGGTTTTTAACATCTCTAAAGCTCTTCCTGAACTTTCTGCTGTTTTCTTTGGTCTTCACAGTGCTGTTTGTACCCTGAGGTTTTATAGCAGACCTACGAGTTGAATTTAGGCAGAGAAAACATGAAAAGAAAATCCATTTTATTGAACTTTATTCAGATTAACTGTGCTGAATTTAAATCCAGCATTTTAGTCATAGAAATTCAAAACCATGTATCATGTTTCCCTCACTTTAAAACCAAAGATCCCTTTGCTAGTTTTTGGTCTGTTAAGCAAAATGCTGATAATATAGAAAATGTGAACAATTTGAGAATATATTGGTGCATGTAAGGCTAGGTGCATAATAGTGTCTCAGTTCAGATTTTTTTTTCTCATGCTGTTGGCATCATCGTTAGAACAGGTGGCAGGTCCATTTTCAACTGTGCGGATATTCCAGGACCCCCTAACTGTTTAGAGTAATAAAACCAGCAGCTACTGCTTCATAACTTGACCAGCTGATGGTAAGACGGCATGGTCCAATGTCCTGTGGAGGTGTGGGAGGAGCGGGGGAAGCTCTCTTCAGGAAATCAGGGGATATCCTTAGTTCCCGGTGTTCTTCAGATAGACTTTATCCTTACCTAATGCAAAAGCTGAACATATGTTATAGAGTTTCAAGCCAAGAGGACGAGGGATGACTTAATGTGCCCAAAAATAAGTAGCAGATTGTAAACAATAAATATTTATGGTATCATTCGTCACAACAGTGAGTGCCCCCCAGTGCCACTTGGACAGTGATCTTATTTACAGTAGGATGGATACCTTCACCTGTTCCTGCACACCTTCCCATCCCATATTGGTCCTAATGGGAGGGGCTAATTCTGGTAGGGAGGTTATGAAGCTCCTCTGAGAACTTGAGGAAAAAATTGTTTTACTAACCGAACCAGTCACAATCTCTAGGAGGTCAATGATTGGTTTGAAGTGGTATCATTCAGTTTAATGTATAGAGTTAAATATGGTAATAGCAGTCTGCTGATAATTTGTGAAGGGCTGGCAATTTGAAGAAAAAACAAATCAATTATGTATCCTTTATTTATTTGAAATGCCAAAAAAGTTGGAAAACTATTTATTAAGCATATATATTCTGAACATCCTGTGGTATTTAGGAATTTATAGGACAAATTAATATAATTCTTTGACATAAGATGTTCAAAACACATTTTCAAATTTTTAAGTAGGATGTTATAATGCTGTGTTTACCGCTGCACATTTGATGAATGCCATTTTGCCCCCTGACAAAAACCTGATCTCAGACATGAATCATACATAAATACCGGAAAGCAATGCTGTCATCTAGTGTTTACATTTACATCTTACATCTTTCTTGGTTGTTTAAATTAAAAGCAAGTCATGAAATCAACTATTCTTAGTTGGCTTGTTTTTTGGTTCTTGTTTTTTTTTTTTTCAACGTTTAGAATGAAGACTTTGCTCTATCTCCTCCAAAGCATGCTGTACCATTTAGCTAAAGATTTTAACTTTTTCGTTTAAAGTGTGTCACACAGCTGCAAACACTAGTACAGATGAGACATGGTTCTCTGATAAGGGGACATCCACAGCCTGCCAGGAACCACTCAGGAATCAGGATTCTGGAAATGCTGCAGGGAAAGGTCATTGGAGTGTGTGATCCAAGGTCAAGCAAACATTTCTCCATGTAATCCTCCTTATAAAACAAAACAAGTCCCTGAGGAATGAGGTCAAAGCCCTGTTTGCTGATGCAGAAAGGGCTCTCACTGCTCCAAGCTGATTATCAGGACTCTCTTTTAGTGTTGCATCTAAGATTTATTGTATTCTTTACAGGGTAGAGCCTTACAATAAACAGGATATGTTTTATGCCTCTAATTGTACTGAACTCATAAGACCCTCCTCAGCCAAAAATAATTTCTGCAACTAATTCTGTTAGGAATGAATATTATGGCTTGCTGCAGATTTCTATTTGCATTTAGGTCTAGAGTTGATCTGAACCATTCCACAGGTTTTGCACAAATTATCTTGCCGCTGTTTTGGAAGAGATTCCTCTAACTTTACTTTCAACAGTAGTTTTTTTTTTTTTTTTTTTTTTGCTTTACTTGCCTAAGGCAGCATTTAAAATAAAAAAAACAGGCACATTTTCTATGTCTTTCAGACATTTGCAGCCAATGGGAGTCATTACCCCAGCTTGTTGGATAGTCATCCACTGCATGCTGCTGAGAACAGTGAAACCAGCTTACATGTTCGGGGATGGACCGCACTGCATTTTATCTCACCATAATTCCCTCATTTGAAGAAGTTAGTGACATCAGAGAGAGAGTCCAGCCCAAGACACCATTCAGTCTAACATGTAGATCTCAGCGGATCCTACTCAGAGTTATTATGGGCCTGTAGCTATGTACATGTTTACTTTCTCAGGGCAGTAAAGAGTACTTACACCACATTATTTATCTTTTTTATGATTGATATTTTGTATTTTATGGTTGTGTATAGCACTTGGGTCCTGCTGGGTGTTGAAAGTGCCTTATAAATAAATTGGTATGGTACTTAATTTCATAAATGTTTACTGAAGCATAAGGGTTGTAGGCCTACGCCTCGAACAAACTCATAATTTATAACTTGTTTAAATGTATTATCATTTTATTATAGGCTTTAGTTTCAACTGAATGCAAAATACATGCAGTCATAGGTATGATACATGCTGAAAATACATTTGCTTTGCTGGTCTGTAAAGAACAAAAAAGTCCAAATTGATAAATGATCTAATCATTCCAACACTTAATTCTTAGAGATTAGTTCACATTGTGGTTTTCCATGTTCCAAGTCTTTAGCAGAAGTTAAAGCTCCCTCATGTGGCCACTTAGGTGAAGTGCAGCAGAGTGTCCTCACACTCCCTTGGCACAGTGACCTTGTAGCTGTGGCATGCTAGTTTGTAATTGTTGTCATTGTTGTTATCCCAGAAATCACATCCGTTTACATGGTAGCAGATGGCAAACTCAAGGATAGCCCCAGGCTGCAAGATGAAAGGTGGGACAGGAAGGCGAAACCTGAAGATATCAGTGCCTGGGGTCCCAGAGTCACCAGGGTCCCCACCTGATACCCAGGAGGCAATAGTGTGTGTTTGTGTTCTCCAGTTGGTGAAAGTATAGTGCACTCTGACCTTTTTTTCATAAGCTAAATTGATTACATGTATGGTGCCTGTTATGCCTTGTTCTGAGCATACCACCTGCTCCAGAGAGACCTTCTGAGAGCGAAGACGGTTTTGGAAGTCTGGCTGGCTCCCCATGTGTTCAGGGAAACAGGGTCTTAAATATGGCAGGTTCAGCTCAGGTGACTTTCCAAAAGTCAGTTCGGAGCTCATCAGCAGCCTGAACATCACAAGAGGAGGTATTAGGGGGTCCTCCTGACCTCTGAAGACCTTCACCTCCTCTAAATCAAGCCCCAATGCATCAACAAAGCGTACCTGAGCCCTCCTCGGCTCACTTTTCTTTTCTGAAGCCAGAGAAAGAGATTTGGCCCTTTTCCTCTGAATGGTCTTCATGGGGTTGTCAGAAGAAGTTTGCTTCAGACCTTGTTCCTTCATAGAGGTGGGTCTTGGAGAGGGTGGACGGATCCGAACAGGTGCTTTTGGAGGTTGGGGCTTTGGATCGTATACGTCTCTGAGTCTGATTGTTGTGGTCGGCCTGCTGGGGTAAATCATAACCTTGGCTTCCGTCCAGTTCTTCTCACCAGCTGATCCTGACATTTTCCACTTTAAATTCAACTTGGAGATAAAAAGATAAGCCAATTACTTTTTTATCATTAGAATACTGTGCAAATAATGAAAATGTTGCCAACTGCTACATAGCTTGAAGAAGAATCAGACCTTCACAGTTGTGTCCTGCTGTTGAGCTTCTCTCTTCTGTGACCTTGTTGCGATCTTGCAGTTGTTTTGAACCCGGTCAGAGGCACATGACAGCTAGGGGTGTCAGTGAAGCACCCCCAAAGCACTTTGAGCAAAGACCCACAAACAAGAAGTCAGTGTGTAATCTGTGCCCCCTTGGTGTTTTAGCTTAGTGTTTGACATATAACATGAGACATGAACTAGGACTGAGGTCCAGAGTGGATATTTATAGCAACTGGGGCGGTGACTCTGTTCTATGAAGAGGTCTTTTTGTCTTTTAGTTACTAAAATCAAACACAGTTAAAAGATTTATTTAAAAAAAAAAAAAAGAAAAAAAAAAGCTTAGAAATTGGGATTTTGGATGATATAATACTGATCCCATTTCAAAATCCTTTTCAAAGTGGCATTTTGCTGGATTCATGCCAGTGACATGCACGGGGGGGGGGCAGGTGGTCGTCGTCCCTCCTCCTGACGTATTTGTTGAAAACACACGTAGTAAAGTGCCCTCTCTGGAGCCAAATTGTGTGTTAAAATGCCCTTTTAAGAAGCCAAAAATACCCCTTTAGGAACCAAAAATATGCTTCAATTGTCTCTCGGGAGCCAAAACCTGTGTTTAAGTGCCCAATTGGGAGTCGAAACTTGTACTTAAAGTTATAGTGGAGGATTTTTATTTCCGGTTGAATCATCAAAATAATTGGTCCTCCTAATTGTCAATCTTTCTTGTGATATGTTTACTGAAGGCCGTCCTATGTGCTCGTCCCCAGCCAGCCATCTTTTCTAAAATTGTCTAGATACCAAAATGAACAATTATTTTTGTCTACTTAAAAAACACATTAGATTTTAAAATGGAAACATTTTCTATTTAAGAAAAAAAAAAATTTATTTAAAAAGTCAATGCATACTTAGACTGATTTTATTTGTCATTATGTTTACACAACCGTAAAACAAAAAGAAATTTTGTGTGCAACAGCTCTCTGGACAATTTCCTCTTTTTAAAAGTGCAGCCTTGAAAAATAGTTAAAAGAAAAACACTAATATAAACATATGACTGTAAATTTACAGTTCTAACATTTTTTATGTGATGATAAAATATCATAAATATAATAAAATACAATACAATAACTAAATAATAATATAGCATGGGTGCATAAAAACATGATTTTATTTTTCAGTGTTAAATTCTGTTTAAAGTAACAGATAATCAAAAATGTCTCTGGACATTTACTGGTTGTTGATTTCCGTTGTTCAGACCCTGCTGATTTTTAACTGGTTTCCCCCTGGTGTACACTGTAAGCACAGAATGAGCTTCCCACTGATGCCTCCATTGCCAAGTTTCTACTGCACAGGTAAAGTTTAAAAATTCACAAAAATCCTCCACTATACCTTTAAGCACCCTCTACAGTGGTGGGAATGTGCTATATCTGCCCAAATAATCTGGTCTTTATCTAAGAAATTATTTTTTCTAGAAAACTCACAAGATTTCCAGTTTGCAGATTGTCTCAAACCATGTTGGTAATATATTAAAGAAATGTAAAAAGCTGCTCTTTTCAGATTAAAGACCAAACCTGAATCCTTTTGGCCCACTGAAACACTATATGAGGTTGGAAACTAAAGTAATGAGGAAGCTGGGAGTGTAGATTTATCTTCCAGCAAAACAACAACCCAAAGGTCCATAGATTCTGATGTTAAGAGAGGCTTTCGGTTTAGTCTGACTTAAGCTAAGGTGCAGAGGAGGCAGGGCATTCATTTGTGCCCCAAGATGAACAAAGCTGGTGGAGGCGTACCATGGACTTGCAACTGCCACTGCAAAAAAACTAAACAAAAAAAGAACTCTAGTGTAGGCATCCACTGATTACTAGGTATACAGTTAGTATTGACTCAGCAGGGCGAATTCACAAGCACACCCCACTTTTCAGGGTTTATCTGCAAAGCCCTGTAACATTGGTAATTGCAATTTCTACTACTGCGTGTCCAACTATCTCTAAAAATCCTGCTATTATAAACTAAAACCAGTTGGTAGAGCAAACAAATGTGGTGAAATGTATGGGGTGTGGAGCCAATTACAGTTGATTACAGCAAAGAAAAAGCCTGTCACAATCCCAGCTGAGCTCATGGTTATTATCAGCACGTACCGGTAGTTGATTTTTGACTTCCAGCAAATGAAACAAAGCTGGGAGATGAACTGAGCAACAGAGGATCAGGGAGCAGGTTGGCACACTGAAAGATAAACAGAGTTTGTCTCATTTTTGGGCCAGGTTGGAGGGAGAGGACTGAAGAATGACTGTTTTACAGTAAGTCATGAATCTCAGCAGCTGGGTTGTCCTCTCATGAGAAGATGGGACAGGAGAAGCCTTCCTGTGGAGAGTCCTCCTGGATAATGTGCCTCCAAGTTCTGCCTTCATACCTTCTGGCCGGGCAGGGAATGGTGACAGCCGGAATGCTGTTGGACCGCATACAGGTTGGTGTAAAGTCTGATAGATGAAACATAATGGAACCTGTGAGGTCCGGAACAGTAAAAGGGCTTCATTCAAATGATAGGAACTCTTTAATGGCTTCTGTTTGCTTGGTTATTATCTGCACTCTTTAGACTGACTGTCCAAGTATACATTTTTTTTTTTTTACGAACATTTTTAGTTTGAAAGAAAAAAGCCTGTGTATAAATCTGAACCCATAATCAGGGTTATCTTAATTCAATATGTGCTACAGATGTGGAGGTCCTGATGACCTAGCAGGTGACCCTGACCCTCGATGATAAATAAACTCTAAGATACGGTAGAGCTGGAGTTTCTGTTATCGTCTAGGGAAGGTTAAAAATCAGGAAATACATGAAACAAGAAAAACTGTTTATAAAGAAAAGTTTAATTAATCCTTTGCTTTTAAGAATCGTTATGTATCATGAATACATCAAGCAGATTTTATTTCCATGTTTTTATAGACCATCTACAATAAACATTAAAGATATTGTAATGAAAACAGACAACAGATAACACAGAACTAGTGGATTTAATAAGCAGCAGATCAGATCAGATTCAATGAGAGGTGAGGTATTTCTAATTTAATATAAGCTGTAATATTTGCCCAACTTAATTTATTACGGTTTTTATAAAATTGATTATTTAAGTTGGATCAACTTGATTGAAATACTTGTTTTCAACTGAAGCAATTGAGCAGCAGCATTATCTTTTTAGAGTGTACACGGTTGGAAGCAATCAACCAGTCTGCTCTGAAAATTTGCATCACCAAGAAGGTATAATCATATCAGCCATGATGATGTTTAGAGACTCTAATCCAGCATTAGCATAGGACGGACTATGTAACATAAAGCAGTTTTTTTTTTTACCCCCATAGTGTAAAAATATGTAACTAAAAGACGATCTAACACATCTAACTAGGTTTCGTTTTTACTGTTAGAGTTTGTTAAGTACAACAACAAAATCCTTTCATACCCGCAGAATAATAACAAACAAATCTTTAAAAAAATAAAAATCAACGTTGTGATTTTTGGAAATATTAAAATATGCAACAAAGTTTGAAGTAAACTTTTAAGTTTTAATAGACATATATTTAGCTATGAAATGTAATTCTATAGCAAAATATATGGACTGGAGAGTCAGAGACTAATATGAAACTAACACATCATCTACTCAATATGTGGGAACACCAACACCCAACTAGCTGTAGAGGCATAAAATCAATAAAATAAAATAAAACTTGTTCAAGGCACAACTGACTGAAAAGGAACCTCTGTCCTTATGGTGCTGAGATAAGCTAAGTACTTTGGGATGGGGGACCATGTTGTGGCATGCTATGGAAACAATCATCTGACCATTAATGTCAATAAAAAAGGGAGAGGATTGAGAAGTTCAGAAGAAACATGAACAGGTAAAAGAGTAGTAACATCATGGGAGAAAACATCGAGCTGATGGAGGACTATAAGTATCTTGGACCGGAGAAGCAGCCATGGAGTTGTCTATAAGAAGGGACAGAGCAGACTGTCCTTCTAGAGTCTTCTGTAATCGTCTGCTGGGGTAACCTCTGGAGATGATTATACAAAAAATTATTGTGAATAATAAATGAAGAACTTTATGGACAATCCTGAGCATCCTCTTCAGGAGACTGTTGGACAACATCAGAGAATCTTCAGTCAGAGGTTTCTCCAGGCCCACTGTAAGACAGACAGCTACAGGAGATCCTTCCTGCATACATCCATTAGCATCTAGAGCTACCTGATGTAGAAATATTCATAACGAAAAAATAAAATATATTATTTAATTGTGTTGATTGCCACCATGGACAACTGTCCCCAAGACAACACTGTCCCTTGCTGATGTTCAATTACATAGGGACCAACTCTTCTAAAGGTTACTGGAAGCACTGGGGTTTATTTTGAAATGTCTGAGTAACAGAGGGTTTTCTATGCTTGCAGGGCATTTGTTTTTAGTTATTTATAAAAGAAAAAAGTTTACTGCTATGTTTGATTTATTTCAACTCTTCACGCAGGTCTGCTCCGTCAAACCTCAGAAAGAAAATAGATTGTAGATTTTGGGGAAAACAAGAGGATGAACACTGTTGTATGTGATGTTTTATTGCCTCTATATGTGAGTCAGAAGGGGGGGCTGCAGGGAGGAGAGTCATGTCTCAAGGACAATTTTCAGCTGAGTCACTGTCCTAATGTTTGCGTGTCTGTGAGGGGCTTTAGGTGTGGTTTCTGCTGAGCATCTACACTGGCTTTTTTTTGTCAAATAAAACATTACATATTGTTGTCCTGTAATGTAAACAAAGGAAATAGTTGCCAGAACTACCTTTATGTTGGATTTCCCTTTTGAATGTTTAGCTGCTGGGAGGGGTTTAGTTCTTAACCCTTCCCAGACATAGGAAACTATATTATATAATATAAACAGCTGATTTTTGACAACAAACAGTAGCTGATCAAGAAGAATCAGCTGTGTCCTTCCCAGACAGCAGCATCACCACGTGTCAGCGACAGGTGCAGCACCTGCTGCTGCTGCTAGGAGTGCGTCAGCAGCTCACATTCAGGACATTGGGCTGCAGAGAGAGGAGGAGCTATCAAAGAATACAGGAGTACAACTGCAATGTCCTCTGAAGTGGTTTCTAAACAAATCGGGGGAAGAAGAGCCTCATGAAGTGTGGTCCATTTTAAGCTGAAGAGGAATAGTGTCTCTCATCCTCCTTCAAACACCCACACTCACTCAGTCTGTCCTTTTCACAACAACACCTCGTCATTGGTCATTCCTCCTATTGGAACTTGAAGGGAACTGAACAGAGGCATACTGAACAGAGGCATAGGAAAAACGTATTTGCTTCATTCGAACAGCCTCCAGCATCACCACTTCTATCAGCCAGAAGGTCACAGCCTGGACGGGCTTTATCAGTATGAAGAAGGGACTGCAATCCGGGGGGCAGACTCCAACGGGACATCACAGCATTGTGGACAAAGAGAAGGAGATGTGGAAAGAGAAGGGGGATAAAGAATGGCAGAGCAGGAGGGTTGAGAGGAAGCTTCTGGCCTTTTGGATGTCCCTGTCCCAGGGGAGGTGGATCCTCTTCAGACCCCGAGACAGACCAGGCTTCCAGCGCTCAGCCTCGGCCGCTCGGCTGCTGAAGAGTGAGGCGTGATAGGTGAAAGGAGGGATGTGTGTGTTTGTATATGTGTGTGTGCATGTGTGTAGTGATTAGTGAAGATCTGTCAGATGCAAAGGTGTCAGAAGAGGCCAACAGACCTGCAGCAATTGGACTTATGTGTTTGTGTGCGTACTCCACTATAGAGGATGTAGTGACCCATGTTCCCACTGAGGATCTTTGTGATGCCACCAACACCAAACCTCTAAGGTAGACTTGAAGCAATCAAATCAGACCCTTTGTTGCAAATATTTAATCTTAAGAATGATGTTTAAGATCTAAACAGGAAGTGGAGTTTTACCCCTGAGTCTAAGTCTCAGAACAGAGCTGAACCTTTAGGTGGCGATGGGTTCATACCTAAAGCTATGGTGGTGACACATCGGGTCCTGGAGCTCCGGTTACAGGGAAAGAAGCTGAGGGGCTTCACCTGCAAACTGACTCGCTCAGGCCTCAGCTTTCTACCAGAAAACTCATGGAGCATTGAGAAACAGGTCCTACTCCCTTATCTGGTGTCTGGACTGGGAATGGTGGCAGCCAGGATGGTCATGGACATAGTGCAAGTATGTATTCAAATATTTCAGTGTTTTTTCATGATTGTGCATAAATACAGAAAAGCATGACATTTTTTCACTATTTGTAGTGACTGCTATTTCCTCTTGTAATTGTGTGTTGTATCAAGAAAGAGAAACCAGAAGTCCTGTTATTAGATATCTTGGTAGGATCCAAATTTGTGCTTCCTAAACTCTTCATAAGAACTTCCACCTCAGAAAGAAATAGGTTTCCCAAATACTCCTTCAGTGTCAATAGTACCGGACGCTTCATTCACTGTTTTCTATTCCTGTAAATTGGCGCTAATGTTACACTAAAGAAGAGCTCCACATTTACCGTCTTTTACTTTTGAAGGCCACAATACGCCACATGTGTCAGACTTTATATACTGAGGTCTGATTTCTTCAAAACCTGTGTAGACTACAACCAGAATGTATTTTTTACTGCTTACCATCGGTATTTATACCATAAAATTACATGCTTTATTGTTTGCACACTTTCAAGTCTTCAATCAGCTGTGTTTGCACAAAATGTGAGCATCTGTGATAATTATTTGTTCATTAGAACTGCATTACAGATCAGTTTACATTGAGTTTTCAACCGTTAGTACGTATTTTCCCCAGATGTTAACTTCCTGTCTGACTCAATACTTTCCCATCAGAATGATGCGTAAGTGTGGCCAAAATAGACCCTGGGTTTATCTTACTGGAGAAACCACCATCTATACGGCCTCATTAATTTCAACATATTACGATTGCTACCGGCTACATACAACCTGATTTCCTGTTGGAGCAGAAGCCGTACTGAATCAAATGTGTCTTGCCCTTTAAAGCCACTTTTTATCTGCAATTTCATGCAAACTGGAAACAGTTCGAAAAATAAAATTTTACTTTTTTTTCTTTTTTTATCATTTGTTGTTGGCAGATTCTCCAGGGTTCGACAACCTGTGGCTCCAGAGCTGCAAGTGTCTCTTTGGACCCTCCACAATCTCTTAATAGAGATTAAACATAATAAAGAGCCAATTAATGGTTTAAATTAACAAATTCCCTTCTTACAAGCTTTAGCAGTGTTTTAAAGAACATTTAAATTTAATTTTCACTACAGAAAGATTTTTAGATCTATATTTCTTGTAACTATGAAACCATGTATTTATTTTTTACATAAAATAATATCCCACTGAACAAAATCTGAAGGTTTCCCCTACATGACACTTTCATGTGTTGTCCTTATAAAAAAAAACAAAAATGCAAATAAGCTGTTTGTTGTTTAAAATGGCAACAGATTTCCTATTGCAGATATTTTAAAAAAATAATAAGCAGTGATTTTTTTCAACCGCCATTTGCAGTTTTTAGTTGGTAAAATGGCTCTTTGGAATTGAAAGGATGCTGACCCCTTTTCTACACAGACATCAGCCCCACTAGAGAAGCTCCTACTGCTTGTCCTGTTTCATATCTACAGGGGGTTATCACACCCTCCACCAGCACATTTCTCTTTGAGGAGGATTTTGAGGCTCCATCTGGGGCCAAAATATTTAATAATCACCTTTGCATCACAGTTTGCTTACAATACTAGATACTTTTTTTTTTTTATTTTACACTCTGTTGGTAGAAGTTAATCCTAATCCTAAACCCAGACATGTTTTCAGTTGAAATTTGAAGTTTATAAAATCTGACTAAATGGTATAGAATAATGTAGGGCTCAAACAAGTGTGTGAGTTTTTGGTAAATACTCAGAGTCAAAACATGTGTGGATATTTTGAAACATTTCTACTTTCATAGAAATTCCTACTTATTAGTACAGCTAAGGTTGAGCATTTGATCACTATGCTTTCAAACAATTTGTGTTATTTGACTTTAATGGCTGTATTTCAAACAAACTTGGAATGGTTTAAATTGGCTCAAAGACAACAAAGTAAATTTTTTTTGTTGAGTTTTTATGTCACTAGTGGTTCATTTTTATGGACAGTAGGCTGATAGGAGAGGGGGCACGAAAGAGGGGGAGAGACATGCATGAAAGGACCACAGGATAGACTCGAACCCTTGTCGCCCGCGTCATGCACTGCCACCAAAGCATGCCCCAACAAAGTCATAGTTGTATAGTGACCTCACTTAACCCTGTTTTATAAGTAAAATTCCAGTTAACAATTTTCAAATGCCTGTTAAAGGAGACCTATTGCTTTGAGTAATATTGAGCAAAGTAAACCACTTTATAAGGCTCATCTACTAAATACCAGGGAAAAATGTTAAAAGAATGATGTCTACCATTAATGTGGCATTTAGCAAATTGAAAGCATTTTTCTTAATCCAACAATCACAAAACAAGAAAAGATTAATCTGATCCAACAATTCAAGTAGAAAAAAATTGTGTCTGTTTAAACAGTGGATGTTGATATCTGTTTTAAACTGTAAATTGAACCATGAAAAAAGGAAAATAAGATAGAAAAGGTCTGCTACTTATTGTCACCGAGATGTACGTCAAAATTGCTAAAAAATAAATAAATAAATAAATAAAATTCCTGTTTTTTCAGCACTGGGAGGTGTTCCAAGAGATCTCTGAGGTGTTTATCTTGGTGCCAGCTCTGGTGGGGCTGAAGGGAAATCTAGAGATGACACTGGCATCCAGGCTGTCAACAGCAGTGAGTGCAAAAACACTAACATCCTCACATGCACTGCAAAAATGAGATTTGTCAGGAAACTGATCATTTTCACTAAAATGCAAGACATTTAGCACTTTAAGAAGTTTCCACAATGACACAGATGTGAGGAAATATTATGTAAAAGAGGTCCCATCCACAGGCGAACACCGGGCAGCTGGATGAAGCCCAGCAGCGGTGGAGAATGGTGATCTGTAACATGGCCCTGATTCAGGTGGCGCTGCACCGACACAAACACACGCAAACCCTCTTATTAATAACTCACACAAACACCTGGTATCATCTGTCCTTTATCCCTGGAAACTCTGTTTGCATCGCTATGTCCTCCTCTCAATCCAAAACAGCTCACCTCTGCAGCTCAGATGTTTGAAAATAAACAGAAAAATCCTCTAAACTCCAGATGTTGTTTTAATAAATCTACTAAGAAGATTTGGTTCTTTACATATAAAACAAAATGTGACGAAAAACTAAGTTTTGATAAACCTTTGAGGCAAAAAAATTAAAGATTTAGTGAAACAGATGATCAGAGACAAGAGTGGCCAGAAGTTTGGACAGAAGCTGGATGTAAGCTCTGATTTCCAGTAAAGTCTGGATGGGTCTGTGCTAGGTACAGTCAGTCAGCAGGGGTGAGATGGAGTGAAGACTGAAGTCTAGACGGGCAAAATCCGGAAGCGGTCAGACAGTGGAGACTCATTACTCACCCAACTCCAAACAGCAGCCAATAAAAAGGGGACTTGGATGCGACACCAGCTGCAAAGCTATTGTTGTTCTTTGTTACATGAAACTCCTATACTGAATTATAAACCTATAAATGGGCAAAGGAAAGGGCGATCTCAGGAAGATCAGCTTCATCCTTTCATGTCCCTTCAATCCAGTGTAGGATATCTAAGGAAAATAAACTATCAAAAACAACATCACTGTTGGACAATGTCTTCCAAACCATGCATGAACTTATTGCAGAGCTAGATGGATCTTTTAGTAATAGACCGCTACTCTCTAAGTGCACTACAGTAAGTAGTGTTTTCTAACTATCACAGCTCCCAACAAACTTAAAAAGTTGTTCATATATCTGCTGTTAGTTTCACATTTTGCTCCATTTTTACTGTAGTTAATTGCTGTATTAAATGCACAATTGTATTTCTTTAGACTGTACAGTTTAGTTTTGAGAACTATAAAGTACATTTTTTTCTGTTGTAAACCTCTGTAGTTGGCCCTTCTGGATGACTGAACAGAAGTTTTTCCTCTTTTGCAGATATTTCCCTAGGTGCTAAAAAAACACCAACTATCAGACAATAAAATATCTATTCTATTCTATTCTATTCTATTCTATTCTATTCTATTCTATTCTATTCTATTCTGATCTTCTTGGCCTAGATCTACTCCAACTAAATTATGAAATGTGTTTTTGTCTGTATGGTACAGTTTGTTTGGTCCTACTCATCTCTGAATGTACTAATCCCAGTACCAGTCATAAAAAGAGCAGTAACAGAAATGTTTGACAATCGATGGGATGGAGTAGAGCCGGGCCAAGAGGAGCTGGTGGAATAACCAAATTATCAACATAACTGCATTCTTATCATCGGGGGCTGTTATTGTTTCCAGGTGCAGGCTACAGTTGTGGGCTTCCTGGCAGCCATAGCTGCTTTGGTTCTGGGTTCTCTGACCAGGGCAAGGGTCGATGGTATGCAGGCTATCATCCTGTGTGCCAGCAGCATCACCACAGCCTTCATTGCTGCGCTTGCTCTAGGTTAGTGAAGACCGAGTTGTTGTAGAGTAGAAAACAGAATACAACAGTTAATCTGGTCTGCATGCTTTAATGATTCTTTTTTATGGGCTGTTACAGGTTTGGTGGTGGTAGTGGTGATTATTGGCTCTAGAAAGGTTGGAGTCAACCCAGATAACGTGGCCACGCCCATTGCTGCCAGTCTCGGTGACCTAATCACCCTGTCCCTGCTCGCTGGTGTCAGCAGCTTCTTCTTTACCTACAGAGGTCAGATACACAACTTAAACTAGAAGAACAAAAGCATCACAAATGCTGAGTAGCTGAAGGTGTAGACTAATTCTGTAATGCAAACATCTGGAAAGCTCATAAAGAAAATGGAATTCATGCATCTTTGTGCAGCTGGATGCTCAATGTTATTTGTTGAAGTGTGTTTCAACCAGAGGAGGGCAGCAAAATTCATTTTAATTTGTAGCCTAGAGTTGAAAGAGATGCATCAGCAAAAACGATTGAAGGAAACAGAAAGCAGAATTATTGTTCAGTTGCATGGTGGCTGATAATTTTTGCTTGTCTGATTTGCTCCCCTTCAGACAGGTGGTACCTTCCCTCAGTGGTGTGTGGCTTTTTCCTGCTCCTTATCCCTGTGTGGGTCATCGCTGCCAGACGCAGTCCACCAATCAGAGAGGTCCTAAATTCGGGCTGGCAGCCAGTTATTTTGGCCATGTCTATCAGCAGGTGGGTCAACCAATAATAGGTCATTTTAACCTTTCCTCTATCTACCTATCCATCTGTCTGAGAAGATATATGCTCACAATGTTGGCCCCAACAAATATGTAATTTTGTAAATACTAAAGATAGAAGTGCTTCTACATACAACACTGAGATTATTTGCAGGTGATTTTTATTATACATTTTAAAAAAGACCAATTGTGCTTAAATAATAAAATCCTCCTCGAAATGTTCTCAGGATAACAATATATTTATTTTAGTTTTATTTACATCTTATAGAGTAAGAATATATTTTATGAATTTTTGTTAAAGTTTTCATATATAAATATATATATATATATATAAACCATGTTTCAATTTTCTTAGTATCGGAGGTCTGATTCTGGATAAAACTGTGAGCAATCCCAACTTTGAAGGCATGGCTGTGTTCACACCAATCATCAACGGTGAGTCAAAAAATATATTTTTTTGATTTAAAAGAACACAACATTCAAGCCATTAAACCTCAAAAGTCAATAATTATCCTGAAAAAATTAAGAGGTTGAAATAAAAAATGAAATGTCAGTGGTCTTAACAAGCCCTAACAGTTTTTTTTTAATTACCCTATTTGGTTTTCTTACCAATTTCTTGACTTCCTAATTAAACTTTAAATTTCATCTTCAGTTCGGTGTTAAAAAGAGAGATGATTATCCTATATAAATAAATATTGAAATAAAAAAGCTAATAGAATAACCTTAAAATCTGTTGGGAAATTAATTTTTTGTAGAAGGTTAGAATTTCAAGTGATTCAGTCGAAATGTGGTGCAAATCAGGGTGTTTCCTGAACCCTAACGGGAAGCACTTTACCTTCAAAATGCATACATACAGAAGCCACGTTAGACCGTTGCAGTGCAGCTACAGTGCCTTGCCAAAGTATTCAACCTTTTACCACATTTCATGCTTCAAATATAAAGATATAAAATTGTGATTTTTGTGAAGAATCAAAAACAAGTTGGACACAATCATGAAGTGGAACAAAATGTATTATATGTTTTAAACTCTTTCAACAAATAAAAAAAAACTGAGGAGTGGGGCATGCAAAGTTACTCAGCCCCTTTACTTTTAGTGCAGCAAACTCTCTCCAGAAGTTGTGAGCAGTGAGGATCTCTGAATGATCCAATATTGACCTAAATGACTGATGATGATACATGGAATCCACCTGTGTGTAATCAAGTCTCTGTATAATTGCACTTTTTCTGTTACAGTCTCAGTCCCCCCAAACACCAGACATTATTTAGATGTTGGAGTTAAGGCTAAATCTGGTCGGTCCCTCAAAGTCTTTATTTAGTTCAGAAATAGTTGTTGAAAATTACGCTGTGTTGGTCCCACTTTAGTCCAATAATAGACCTTGAAAACGTTGCAAACCAAATTTTCAACTTTTTCAACAATCTGAAAACTACAGCTTTTTACTTTTCAATTAAATTTAGATGTTGTTTTATCGTATTTTCAACCAATTTTTGCTCATTGGGAGAGATCTGTCTAAAGCGCAGAGAGAATCATGAAGAACAAGGAGCACACCAGGCAGGTCCCAGATACTGTTGTGAAGAAGTTTAAAGACAGATTTATCATCCCAATGAGCACTGTGCAAGCAATAATATTGAAATGGAAGGAGTATCAGACCACTGCAAATCTTTGAAGACTGGTCTGTCCCTCTAAACCTTCAGCTCTAACAAGGAGAAAACTGATTAGAGATGCAGCCAAGAGGACCATGAACACTCTGGATGAACTGCAGAGATCTACAGCTGAGGTGGGAGACTGTCCGTAGTATAACAATCAGCCATGCTGCACAAATCTGGCCATTATGGAAGAAAGACATTTCTCACAGATATCCATTAAAAGTCTCATTTAAAGTTTGCCACAAGCCTACTGGGAGACACAGCAAACATGTGAAAGAAGGTGCTCTGGTCAAAATCAAACATTTTGGCCACAATGCAAAATGTTTGTTTGGCATAAAAGCAACACAGCTCATAAACCTGAACACACCATCCCCACTGTCAAACATGGTGGTGGCAGCATCATGGTTTTGGTCTGTTTTTCTTCAACAAGGAAGATGGTTAAAATTGATTGGAAAATGGATGGAACCTATTACAGGACCATTCTGGAAGAAAACCTGTTGGAGTCTGCAAAAGACCTGAGACTGAGACAAAGATTTCTCTTCCAACAAGACAATGATCCAAAACATAAAGCAAAATCCACAATGGAATGATTAAAAAATAAACATATTCAGATGTTAGAATGGCCAAGTCAAATCCCAGACCTGAATATAATTAAGAATCTGTGTGAAGATCTGAAAAATGCTGTTCACAAACGCTCTCCAGCCAACCTCACTGAGCTCCAGCTCTTTTGCAGGAAGAATGGGTTAAAATCTCATTCTCTCAATGTACAAAACTTATAGAGACAAACCCTGAACGACTTGCAGCTGTACTCACAGCAAAAGGTGGTGCTACAAAGTATTAACTTAGGGGGGGGGGCGAATATTCATAAGGCACTGTATCTGCGGCAGGTAGGTAGAACTATAGGGTTAGATGGTGAAAAATGAAAAAAAATGAAGCTACTGACTTCAGTTAACAGAAGCTTTATATAAAAAGAAATGCTAGCAATGATGCCGCTGGCTTTAAATAACATCTGAAACTGATTCCCCTCTGGCCTGTTATATTGTGGCGAGGCCAGCCTCACCGCAGCCTCACATGCGGCTAGAATAAAACATGAAGAAGCAGTTTTTAGTTCATATGCTTCACTAAGTGGGAAGAAATCCCAGAATAAAATGTAAAAACACTGAAACCCTAAATTGCCTTAAATCGGAACTAAAAACGTATTGGTTAAGTTTGCTATCCAAACATTATGATCTCAACCTTGTAGTCCAGCTTTATTTCATTTTATTTCAAGCATATTATGATTTACTTTTTTTATAACTAGCTTTTAGTGTTAATTATAGATTTTTATTCTCTTGAATTATTCATATTGAGTATTTGTCTAAATATAAATATCACTATGTTTTCCTGTTATATTTTTGTCATGTACAGCACATTGATCTGAAATATGCTGTATATTGCAGCCTTTCCTATCAATAGCCATCATGGTAAAGTTCCTTCTGCAGTGAGTCTGCTGCCAACAATTCCCTCCTAAAACCATTTATGAAACATGCCTTTCTGCTGCCCAATAAAAAGTTATCCCACATGCCTGATCAAATGTACCACTGTAAGTTCAACCTACATAAGTATTTTTTAAGAATTGTTTTTAAGCTCGTTCTTTGCTTTATAACAAACAGTAAAAAAAAAAAAACATGCACCAGCTGCTGTTAAAATACTGAGCAGTGTTAGAAGTTAACAGAAGACTGTAATGAATTATGCCATTTAGTTTTTACCCGACCATAAAATTGTAACACATGCTGAGGCTGAACGCTACTTCATCAATCATAAGGAATGAAAGTGTTTTTGAAATGTGTGTGGACCGACTCCATGTCAAAGGAGCCTCAGAGAGGCGTAAAGGGCCAGATCCTCTTTGACCAGAAACCCTCTGACCACAAAGCAGCATACTAAGCAGAGAGGAATAACAACAGTCTTTACATGAACCACAAGCCTGATCAGAATGCTAACTATGCATTCTGGCTCCTGTTTCTGCTCCGTTTCTGCCATCCTCTGTGCCATCCCGGACCAGGAAGTGCATTTGCATTCCAAAGCAGGGCTCTCCTCTCATGCCTTGTTGACCAGTAACACTTCCCTTGTTCTGTTTCAATGATCCATGTGCTTCAAAGCTCTGTGAGCAAAGAGAGGATGATCTGCTGCTCATAAAATCTGCCCAAGGGGTAAAGGCTGTTGAAAATACAACACAAACATGGCAAAGCCTTTCCAGACAGTCCAGGGTGAAAAACATCCAGGCACAGGAAAAGTTATTGAATAGATAAAAGGTTAATTGATTTTTTTAGGGATAGGGGCTAATTTCTAATACTCTGCAGTCTGTGCTCAACCTTTAAAATATAAACAGGACCTGGTTTTGACAGATGATGTGGCATTTCTCCTAAAATGAATATGATAATGACACATTTGTTTGCTTAGCTACAATTAAGTGCAACAACTCTGGAGTTAACAAAATTCTGTTTTGTATCCCACTGTTTGAGTGAAATTAGAAATGATGAGTTTCATTCTATTTTCCATGTCCTTGCAGGTGTTGGAGGAAATCTAGTGGCCATCCAGGCAAGCAGGATGTCTACGTACCTCCATTCCTGGAGCGTTCCTGGAGCTTTTCCGCTCCAAATGAGAACAAACTGTCCTGGGCCCTGCGTCACCTTCTTTTCCTCAGGTAAAACTCGGCAAAAATATCACACCCATTAAGATCTGGGTCTGCATGGACATTTACTCAACAGTTGGTTAGTTGGGAAGAATTGAAAATACAATGAAAGAGAAGAAAGTCATTATTCATGGTTGATCGCTCTGTCTTATCCTGTGATGTGATTAACTTGCAAGCAAGATTTATTGTCAAGAGATTTAACAAACTCCCGAAAATACATCTGGCCCGAAGCCAGCAGATACGTTAGAAACAATATTTGTGACTTTATGGCTGGGGGAGATCTCTGCGTGTTCCCCCGATTCATCAGTTAACTCTGCTAGTTGAAACATATCAAGCTGCTACAGCTGCTGTGATTGGCTAAAGACTTGACAAGGTAGGCAGATAATCAATCAGCTCAAAGAATTGCACTGAATGTCTCTCCCTTTTGCAAACACTTTCTACATGAGGCTTTCCAGATCAATAGGTGTAGTTCCATTTGAATTCTAAACAGTGTAAATCTGTCTTTTGCCAGGTTAGTGATGTGAGGAAGAGCGTGATGATTCTGGCTCATTTTTTAGACAAAGGGGCTATTATAGCAGCTAAGTTCTTTGGGCAGAATCCTGTCTTTTTTAGCTGATGTCTATGTCCTGAAATTCAGATTTTTGGCTGTGAGAGTTTTTGGGCTTCCTTCCAAAGCCCAAAAACATAAATTCAGAGATGGGTAAAGTACCCGAAAGCAGCCACCCCAGAGATTACTCACATAAAAGGCAAAAAGGTACCAACTAACTCACCATAAAATCTAATACTGACAATTATATAATAAAGACAGAAATCAGGAGAAAATTCTGTTAATAAAATAATTATAACAAATGAAAAATAACAATTCCAGACAGAAAAAAAACAAACACTTTTCTGAACCATTTTACCTTGTTTACACAAAACTTTTGAAACCAGTACCTCCACTGACAGTATTTCCTCCTTAATGTAGCTTTACCTCCAAGTGTCCCGGTAGGTTCAAGTAAGCATTGTACAAAATAAGAGCACTAAACCTTGGTATAAACTCTTCTGAATTACTCACGATTGATGTGTTAGCCAAGTAAGGGTAGCAATATTTTATTTAGATATTCATGTAAAAAAGTATGGTGCATTACTCTTAAAAAGTTTATTTTTATCAAATATGTTATTCAAGTGACTGTAACTGTGTAAATGTAAGTCATTACTACCCACCTCTGCGCATATGTTAGGTATTGTTAGGTTAGGATTGGATGTATCTGTGAAAGAAAATACTTTTGCTTCTCTTTTCTTGTTTATCCAGATGTGAACTCTAAATCTGCCAGAGTACTGGTCACCCTTGTCGTGCCGGGTCACTTCCTCTTCCTGTACACTGTCCAGCTACTGCAGGGAGGACACACCCCCTTGACGCCTACCTTCATCTTCTGCTACCTGTGTGCAGCTCTGCTTCAGGTTAGAAACATTCTTAAAAAAAGAGCTTCTCTTCATGGAGGACATCATAATTTCCTTCATTGTTCTTATCTGACACATTTCTAAGTGTTGTTCTCACCCAGGTGGTGATTCTGCTCTACTCTGCCACCCTGATGGTCCGCTGGCTGTGGAGGAGGAGCTTGGACCCAGACAACTACTCCATCCCTTACCTCACAGCTCTGGGGGACCTGCTGGGCACGGGTTTCTTGGCCCTGACCTTCAGACTCCTCACCATGGGCAGCTCTAACCAGACTGGACTTTGAGCTGTTATAGTGCAGAATTTCAGCACCAGTTTCTCCCATCAGGCTGAAGGATACAGCTTGAAGGACAATGATACAAAATCAAAGCATATTATGCTTCATTAACGAGGGAAAAAAAGCTTATGAAAGGTATTTAAAAAAAAATAAATGTCCTATTCCCACCTTCTTACTTGATTAGGTGATCTTTAGTGAACTAATGTGTGTATGGATGGCCTTTACCTGGTCTTTAGAGAGCTGCAGGGCATGGAGAAATGAAGCACGGTGGTGACAGTATCATTCTATAAGGTGGCTTATAAGAGCAGAGCTTGGAAAACTTATTTTCCAGAGATAAGACACCAAACACACTGCTACTACTGGTTAAACTAAGCAACTGCAGAGTAATGAAGACCAACAGAACCAATATGAGGTCCAAAGGCTGCGGAGAGTTACGGCTTATTGAGTTAGAATAGATTTACCAAAGCATATGCAGGAAAGGTACATACAAAATTCAACTTCACACGCTTATTCAAAATATATTACATTTTGAATGAAGTCTGTGTGCATTTACAATTTAAGTGCTTTAGAGTAACAGATAGCAGATATGCAGGAGTTTATAATCATTGAGGTGGGAAATTTACATCATAAGCTTAAATAGATGAGGCCTTCTATTTGATATCTTACCGTGAGTAATTGCATGGCTAATAACCAAGCACAAAGAACAACATATAAATATTTATTTTAGTTTGGGTAAATTCACCAGTTTTTCTTCCTGCTCCTTTTATCACCGCATGTCAAGAATCAGAGCAATTAGCTCTGTATAAACACATATCAATGCATTTGTACAGCTATTAGGGTAGATGCTTGTTTTATGACCAAAGGACACTACTGAGTGCTGAATGCCGACATAAACCAGATGCTGGCCTCCATGACCTTTTCAGTGTTTATCTTGGGTAGATGTGTGCCTTGGTCAAAGTTCTGCTGTGTGCCTTCGCTTGGCGTGAGCTCGTCTGTGTGTGTCTCTGTTTGTCTGGATCTTTTTTTATTTTGTTTCTTTCAAATGCATGCAGATCTGCATTTGTAAAACTGATTGGTTCAATTAAATAAAACATGTAGGAGAAGTGACGATGTTGGTGAAATGCATTTATTTGAAAGACGTGGAAGAAATTATACCTAGTTTGGTTTGTCTTTTTCTTTTTTCTTTTTTTTTAGAGCTAAAAATAAATAAAAATAACAGTTACACAAAAAAAAAATCTTATCCTACAGTAAAAGACAGGTTCAGGAATCACATTTAGAAAATAAAAGCTGTCTCTTTTTCCAGGGGACAAAGAAAGGCCTGCGATCCAAAGGCACGTCTCGAGACATTCGCTGTCCACACATTTGGATGCGATTTGCCCAGCTTCTGTGCTCTGCAGGGACGTCTTTGTTTTGTGCAAATTAACATTTAAAACAGCAGAAAACAACTGAATACAAATAAAAAGTTTGAACAGCATTTAACTCATTCAGACCAACACTGACTCCATGTTTCCATTTAAATCTCCTTAGCCTCAAAGGACAGAGCTCTGATCTCATGATGGGATGTCCTCGACAAATGTTTTTCACTCTGAAAACAGATATTTTGGATCCGAAAACAGGTGTTTTTTTATTTTATAATGTTTTTGTCGTTCCATTAAGGACAGAGTCTGTGGCAGAAAGAGAAAGCTGAAGCCTGCGGCCAAATGAAGTCCCAGCCTCATCTGAATTTGAGGTAGGCTGGGACAGTGTAGTTGAAGAGCAGGAAGTCCATGCGATAAAGATTGTAAAGCTTCTTCTGGTAAAAGGGGCTGATGTTCTGAAAGAAACTTGCCGCCATGTCTCCTGTAGTCCTGGTGCTTTTGGACGAGGCGGGGAAGCGAATCTGCTTGTCCACCCCTGCCAGCTGCAGCACGTAGCGGGAGTCCTGCTCCAGCGTCTCGTATTTCCCCACCACGTCGTAGTGAATGAGGCAGGGGTGGCACAGTGAGTGGACCCGCTCCCAGTGCTCGTTGAAAGGCTCTTCTCGCTGGGTTGCAGGATCCACAAGATAATAGACAAACTCCTCGAAAGAGACATCATTGCCCTTCTCCAGGGCTTCTGGCTGAGGGTCTGCCCTATGCCGGCGCACTATCTTTGTGCCGTATCGTTTATGGAAAGCGGTGTTGTAGCTCCTTGTGAACTTGTTGCGATAAGCAGAGACCAGCCTCTCGAATGGCTCGCGCACAAAAATGAACTTCAGGTAGGAGCGCAGGCGCTGGTTGATCTGGGAGTTGGAGTATTCTGACAGAGTGCGGAGGTTTCCCGGGACGTGCGCCTCGTTGGCGGGGATGGCTAGCGGGTCTTTGTGGTCTCCTGAGACTCCTGTTAGAACCATGAGCACTCTCTTCCAGTTGGTGCAGGCCACTTTGGGCACGTAGCAGTACAGCAAGCCGTGCTTGTCGTCCACGATAATGTGCTTCAGATCTTCAGGGATGAGGACTCTGCGTTTCCGGGTGTAGGAGCGACAGGCCTCTTCCAACAGCTCCCGGCGACCCTGATGGATAGCCTGAACTGGAGACTCAACCTGTGGGGAGATAAAAAAGGAACAAATAGTTTCACTTTAGTGATTTTAAGTGACAAAGTAGTAAGTGTGAAATAAATGTATGTTACATATCAGATTTCTATTTTTTTTTTTATAACAGGAAGCAGGTATCTCTTTCCTTCTACGTTTTGCTGCACAAAGCCCCACTTTGTATGGAGCTGTTACACGATACGTTCAACTCTGTGGCTGTATGTAGAGAAGTGTTTAATATATAAAAGGGGTTTAAATCCATCAGCATGGCACTGCACTGGAGGTAAATATACTCCTCATCAAACACAGATTTAGAAGTTAGCGCAATAGTTCTGTTTGTAATAGGGACTCCACTTCTCCCAAGTGAGTGAAAATCAGGTTCTCCTCAGCGGGTGGTCTTCACCACCACTGGAACGTACAGCTACCTGGTCAAATGAGGGGTCATCTAGTTCACCCTGGTCTCCAATTGGCACAAATGTTTTATTTACTCTTTTTATTTACTCTGCCCGCCAAAGGACTGCTGCGGTCGCAGCCCTAGAACTCCAGAGTTTGACTCCGTGTCTCACCCAATGACTGCCTCTCTGTGTTTTCTGAGACTGTAACATCCAGGAATCAGAGAGCGGTTAAGCTCTGAGCAGCCAATGCTGGCCGCTTCACTTATAACAGGTTGGAGCAGGACATATAAAGTCTCAGTGAATCTCGTCTTTAAATCTCTTGGTGTGGAAGGTGTAGGGACATTTATAGCAACTAGGACTCACCAAGACAAACATGTTATTGGAAGACAGTAGCAGGGTTTCGTCTACATGCTGAGGGTTAATACGTTTTTTTTTTTTTAGGAAAACCTTATTCAACGCATTGCAAGTCATGCAAAAAAAATTAGATGTCCATCAAGTGGTTGTACAAAGGTAACATTTAGGAATAGAAGCGGGTTTCCATGTTAACTTTATTGGGGCATTTTTAGTCTTCTTTTGCATTAATTACTGCATTACTTCAGGCCTGTTTACTGGTCAATGAGCAGCAGGTATTTCTCATTGTGAATCCTACTGGAAAACGACATCAGCATCTTCATAAGGCTTATCAGCAGACGGGAGCATGAAACCAGTTTCCTGTGCTGACTTAATTACAGCAGGGGAACAAAACCAACAGATGGCAGAGCTTCTAAAATCATTCCTGACAGCAGACGCTTCAAATGTGACCGCAAACAATCTGGACTCTATAACCTTCAATCCCCCTTTAGATTTAAGGATCCTAATGTACTGTACATTCATTAGGAATCCAGTCATTTAGCTGTTGTATCTCACCTCCTGGCTCTGGTCACAATTCCCTCTTTGAGGATTCCACCCAAAGGTTGGCTTCACAATCCTCATATCTTTTGTCCTCTTAACTTTCCAATCAAATTAATTAGGCCTTCTGTAAATGGTGGGAACATCGTCCAGACCACGTTGCTTTTTTTAAAGACAAATATTTGCACTTCAGATCCTCGAGTGAGCCGGAAAGGAAAGAGCCCTACGTAGGGCCGACATGATTAATCCTAAGGAATCGGATAATAATCAACTAGTTTGGTAAGCAAATCGAACTGTTGCCTAGATTAAGAAGAATAGAAGAAAAAAAAAAAATCAACTTTATTGTCATTACATTGTAACAAGTACAACGCAACGAAGTGAAAGATTGATGAGTCAAAATCCCATTAAAATCTAAACAGTTTGTATTTATCATATATATACAAACATACACACACACATATATATATATATATATATACATATATACACATATACATATATATATACATATATATACACATATACATATATA